AAAATCATTTTATAAAATTTGAAGAGAACTTTATACTGTAAATCAACAAATTTAATTTTTGATCATCAAAACTACATGTATCTCAAAGATGCGATCCATCAGTCTTTGTATTTTGTTCATGCGTCTCCCAGTTTGTAGGTGCAAAACTAGTTACTTTCTTTACACTTTAATCAACAAATGTGAAATTGTTTTACTCATACAGAAGGTCCACCTACCTGTGAAGTGACCGGTGCTGGTCCAGAAAATGAAGTGGTTGAAGGTCGTAGTGATGCAACTATGTCTTGCATCGCTGATGTACACCACCAGCAACTCTTGTGTGGATGAAAGATGGAGTTGATACACCAAGCAAGAACCTCTCCTGTTATATATTCCCCAGTGTTTAGCAGAGATGACGCAGAGGTACCATTCAATTGTAAAATAAGCCATGGTACATTAGCAGACGCTGTCACTTGTGAAGATGTTATCACCTTTGATGTTCAGTGTAAGTACATGTATAGTAAAAAAAAAGTATATATACATACATAACAATAAATCTTGTAATTTCTTTGCTGGGCTTGAACATGAACAGAAATTAAATTTTTAATTTTCCCCCTGCCTAACAAGTTTGTCGTGGTGTTCTCAGATTTTCAGTATATTGGTATTTTTGAAAATGGGAACCCTCTGAACCCAAAAGTTTAAATTCTGTATTTGTTAAAAATCAATTCTAAAGCTTTAAAAAATTAAGATTAAATATGACTTACTCTATAGTAGCGTCTGGTATGGATATTCAGTTTGGCCGATTAGCTGTACAATGTACTCAAATGACAAGACCCTATGAGCTGTTACGATGGCTGTTGCGTGTTGTTACAATAGCTGAATGACAGGTTAATCTATTATCATTACGCTTTATGGTGCTAAAGCGTAAAATCTGAGACCTGAGGGGATATTTTTTTTTGTAGACCCTCCTGACCTCAAAATAGATGTGGAACCCAGATACAAAGATGGACAGATTAAAGAAGGCGAGGACTTCTTTGCTTCTTGTAATGTAATATCGTCAAATCCACGCACTGACAACGTGGCATGGACTTCATTATTGGACAATTTTCAAGTGGATCCTAATAACCCACTGGAAATCTTAAGCATTACACGTGACAAGGCTGGTGAATACATGTGTTCAGCTGAGAATACATACTATGATGGAACTACAGGAAATACTGAAGAGATCATTACAATAGATGTGCAATGTAAGTATAGAGTGTTATTAGTGTTTGTGAGAATGGCACTAGAGGGCGCTGTCATTAATATTTCTTTTACAAATGGCAAATCATGTCACCTCCTAGTTTACTAAATAATCAGTGAAGCAAACCGTACAACTATACTAGGATGCTATAATCATAGTCAATTTACTACTGTAAAAAGGTTAATTATTCACTGGGTTTTAATTCAGCTTATTTCGCTGACTGGAAAATGTGCTAAATTAAAACCCAGTGAATATGTAAAATTTAGCATGGAACACATTGTCTAAATGATAAAACTGTGAATTTAAAACCCACTGAATATGCCTGAAATGTTAAATTGGTGAAATTTAAACCTAGTGAAAATTAGTCATTTTAAACTACAATACTTAATTTACTCTTTCTTGTTTTATAAGTGAGGGTAAAGGAACCCTTCATCAATGACAAACATATTACCTTTTATTCCATTCATTTTGGATATATTAATTATTTAAGTCTAGTAAGGGACAACGTCAAAAGATGAATGTCGGATAAAAAAACTTAATTCCTTTAGTTTTTTTCCAACCCCCCCCCCCCACTGAAACTTAATTGGTAAATATTGATCATGGCGTCAGACTACATCCACCATTAAATAAAAATTGACAATCTGACAGTAGTATGGTTGTCGGGTGGGTGTAAAGACTTTACAAATGCACCTCATTTGATGCACATATTTACACTCGAATCAAACCATTTTCTCGTCTTAGATGTTTTTTCATCCTTTTCGGTTATTTCTGTCGATTGGATAGAAAAGAAACTAAATACAAATACTCCAAGATTTTTTTGACTTCATTAAAAAATAAAATTGTTTGTGTAGGATAGAAACTTTTTGAGGTCACCCCCCCACCCCCACCCCAAACTAAAGCAAATAAGTTTTTTATCAGACATCGATCTTTTGACGTCTTCCCTAGGCATGGAATTAATTATTCTATTGAGCTATATTAACAGTATATTTTAAAGCGTTGTGGTCGTCGCGCAGCACATGTTGGAATTTCATGTAAATAAACAATGTATTTTACATGCGTTGTATACTACGCTATGAGTACCATATCGAACAGGACGCGGCGCGGCGACCACCGCCCTTTAATGTACAGTCAGTGTTCTAATAAAAAAGATAAATGATCCACAAACTCGATACTAGCACTTTGTCCTCTTGGTGTTGCCTATGTTTCCAGCATAGTGTTTCAAGATGTCTTTAGTGAAATAAATTGCATTTTCCGTCGATGTCTTGTTTATATCTGTATGTGCAGTATATTCAGAGTATTTTCTGTTCCATTTATTATTAAATGAATCTTTGTTATAATCACTAGACATTCCAGTTGTTGTGTTGGATGAGAGCAAGACTGTGAAAGAGGGAGACGCTGTGAGTATAAACTGCAGTACATTCATCACGGAAGCCAATCCCGCTGCCAGTGAGTTCCAGTGGATCCGTAATAGTGCTGTGGAGCAGACCACCGACGAATTAACCATATATAGCGTAGCACGAAGCGATGCTGGGTTGTACAGTTGCTGGGCCTTCAATTATTTTTATGATGGTAGTCCAGGCAAGGGAGAGAGTACTACTGAACTTGTTGTCCAATGTAAGTGTAACACTAATTGTGGATTGAGGTCATTGGTCAAAAATGTTAATTGTAGTATAGCGCAAATGTATCATGCTGATTGCCATGAAACTGAACAGATGTGAATAGTATGTTTTCAATAGTATGTTTTCTTCGATATT